TCCGCAAGTCTAGAGTGTAGGGTTGGCCTTCAACAGACTGACGTGGAACCCACGCAGCTTTGCATCGTGTCCCTGAGTTGTTTGTTATTGGTTCCAGGGTCTGCAGTCTGCTAATTACTCTGGAGGGGCTCTGTGTGTTTGAAGGGCTCTTTTGTCCGAAACTTTGTTTGTTCAGTTGGGGTCCAAGGCACGCAAGCTCGACTTGTGCTTATACCAAATGCATGGCGAAGCAAAGAAGCCATACCTTTCGTCTTCTGACCGCTCTGTATGGCACTTCCGACACGACTAAGTAATCTCCTATTGACACTAGAACTTACAAGGACTTAGTTTAGTATAGATTGCGCTTGCGCGAAAGGCGCGCGAAAGCGCAACATGCCCCAGCAAGGCCATGACCCATCCTTGGTTGCCCATGTGAGGATCGTTTGATATACGGATAATTCTACATCCGTGTACGCGGAAGGGACGCCAAAACACAGACTAGGGCGATTGTTGGGAGAACCAATTTCGGATAATTCCCCCATGCGGCCATTTCTCGTGCTCGCATGATCGCACTTGATGCTGTTGCGGTTGCTAGTGTTTTCGCATTTTCTTGCTAGTATGGCATGACCTGTATGGTGTTGAACTGCTATGACTGGTTACGTTATTGCATTACTCACGTTATTGCTTTGAGTTGTTGTTTCTCCTAAAGTCAAAGTGGTTTCTGGTGCTGCTGCTTTCTGACAATAGAACTTCTTACTTAGAATCTAGGCGCAATGTTGTTCCAATCGGCCAGCTCGTCCCCAAAACCCCAAACCTTCAAACCTAAACCCTAAACTTCAAACCCTAGGCAGAGACCTAAACCCTAAGCCCTAAACCTCAAAAACCCGGGGGAGAAAAACCGATGAAGACCTGAGGCAGGCGGAAGAAGGAGCTTCCATAGCCATAACCCTTTCAGGGTTTAGAGTTTGGGGATTTAATTAGAGTTTAGGGAACCTTAAGCGCTAAAACGATATATAAAACTCAAAACTCCTAAACCCTGAAACCTGCTTAACGCCATAAAACTCAAAAAAGACCTTTACACCCTGAAGCCCGCTTGGAGGAGGGTGCCGCTCATGTGCCGCCACGAACCTGGGCAGCTCTGGGCGGCTCGGTCCTGGCGTCGGGAGCAGGAGACCCGAGCGGCTTAGGCTCAGGAGGTGCAGGGTTTAGGCTACTTAAGGTTTTGGGTTTAGGAGTTCAGGGTTTAGGCTTAAGGTGTTGAGTTTAGGGAGTTTAGGGGTTTAGGGGTCTAGGAGTTCAGGGTTTAGGCTTAAGGTCTTGAGTTTAGGGAGTTTAGGGGTTTAGGGTTAAGGTTTTGAGTTTAGGAGTTTAGGGTTTAGGGTTAAGGTTTTGAGTTTAGGGAGTTTAGGGGTTTAGGAGTTCAGGGTTTAGGCTTAAGGTGTTGATTTTAGGGTTTGGGGTTTAGGGTTAAGGTTTTGAGTTTAGGGAGTTTAGGGGTTTAGGAGTTCAGGGTTTAGGCTTAAGGTGCTGAGTTTAGGGAGTTTAGGGGTTTAGGAGTTCAGGGTTTAGGCTTAAGGTGTTGAGTTTGGGGCTCAGGAGATAGCGTACGGTCCTGGAAGGCTTTAATCTATGCCATTAGTCGGGCTTGTTAGGTTTATGCAGAGGTACAGCAACGAAAACAGGGAAGATGGTGTGCCAAAAACGTATAGAAATCCTAAACAGGGGTGTAGTTGGGGGCTCAAGGTATCACAGACCTCTATATATATATATATATATATTCCATATATATATATATATACATATCATAATATATATATATGTATATATATATATATATATATATATACACACCATATATATATATATATAGCAGCATTTCGCTTCTAGCAGCTTGGGACTTCGGCCTGGGTGCAGGTGCTTGGGGATCGGACTTGGTGCTTCGTGTTTCAAGGGGCGTTGGGTTTCAGGGTTTAGGGTTTAGGGGCTTTGGGTTTAGGGGCTTTGGGTTCAGGGGCTTTGGGTTTAGGGTTTAGGGTTTAGGGGCTTTGGGTTTAGGGGCAATACCGCGGTGTGGAAGCCTGGGGATATAAGCTTAGCTTCTGTCTCGACGCCGAGTGGGCTCAACTTTTGCTTCAGGCTTACCCAGTCATCTCATCAAGAATGCACAGAAGTCATGTACTGGGCCGTAAACAAGCAGTAAATCCTGTCCGCCAAGCCCGAAATCTGAAACCCTACATCGAAACCCCCTCTCCCTCACCCCAAACCCTAGAAAACTGAACAACCCAAAGCTCTCAGAGAAATGAGCCGGAAACCCTTACCACCCAAAACCCCAAACCCCAAACCCGCAGGAGAGATAGCTTTGGTGCTGCCGACACACATCGCCGAGTGCAGGCAGACCTCCGTGGTGAAATCTCCCTTTCAGGAGACCGGTTAAGTTGCCCTCAGGGCTGATAGGGTGTCCCTAAACCCTAAACCCCTACACCCTAAGGATATCCTTTCCGATTCAGGGCTGATGGGGTATCTGATAGGGGTCTCGGTATGAAGGACCTGCGGCTGTAGGATTTAGGGGGTTTTGAGGGTTTTGTTTTTTTGGGGTTAGGGTCTAGTCTGGAGGGATGCCAACACTTCAAGATCCACGCATCTAGGGTTGAACTTTTGCACCTTGTCGTCGTGCTTTGCTGCTGGTATTAATAATGGGTGAGCTGTCTTTAGTTCCGGTGTTGCATGGTGCCGATTGCCCGTGACCTGAGCTCGTATTGTGTACTCCACGCACAAGAACGCTTCAAGCTTGAAGTAGATACCGATGAGGACTCTGTGACCCCCCTGCGCAATTTAACAGGAACCCTTACAATGCCTGTACACTGTGCTAGGAATATAACAACAGCCGTGTTTTGGAACCGTCTTGGCAATCTTGGTCAAAAGCAAGATTGCCAGCAATC